ATTTTTGCAATGTGCTTCATTCCTACAAGAGCTTAATAAATCTGCATTTCACTTTTAATGAAGAAAAAAAAAAACATTGTACATAGAAAAGCACTATTGAGAAAATGTGTGTTCAAATTTAAGTAAGAAAATTCTAAAAATAATAGAAACATTTTCAACATTACGGAAATTATGGAGGGCAGTAAGCGATATTTCTGTTAAACTGGAATTGAAAGTGAATTGTCATCATTAATATATTTATAGATTTTTTTTTAATGTAATAAATTAATCATTTTCATTCATTTTTTTTTGTAATTGCTCAGAAATATAGCAGAAAAAAAAAAAGAAAAAGAAAAGCATTTCTCTTGAAAATGAATGTAACTGGAAAAAAACTGGGACATATTTATGGGGAAAAGAGTCAATGAAAACTGCATTTGGCTTGTGATGGAAGTTCATAAAAGAATGAAACTCGTTGCAAAAAAAAAAAAAAAAAAAAAATGTTTTCCTATTTTATAATTTCAGGTTATTAATAGTCTTTCAGATATATTTGTTTTCTATCTCAATTTACACTTTTATAATTTTCATTTTATTGAGAGAGAGAGAGAGAGAGAGATAGAGAGAGAGAGAGAGAGAAGGTAATGCAAAAGAAAATAATAATTTTTGAATGTAGCATAGAAAGTAGACATAGTTGCCCCTAAGTGAACACTACTCCGACCCAGCTTGCCATGTACTGCAGTTGTTGACTGACCAATTTGTTTTCAGTAAGTGCATACCAGTTTCGGCTCTAGGTACAACAAAAATAAAATATATTTATGAGACTTGCATGACATAAGGGAGTATGTGTTTTCTTTTCCTTTGGTGACAACAACTACTGCTGAAACCAGGAATGTTTAGAAAGGTTTTAAGGAAGAAGTCTTATGTACTACAAGTGCTATTTGCATTTCAAACCTGTCATTTAATTAGAACCTAGCCAGTTTTCAACTTGCTGAAATGAAAATCTTATTTCACTATGAAATCAAATTTTGGGTCATTCATTAAGCAAATGTTTTATCTTGGAGAAAATGCTATCAGAAGATTTATAGAAAGAATGAAAAAAGGTTTTTCTATAGAATTTATACCTTGTATGCTTAAAAAAAAAAAAAAAAAATGCCTGTTCCAAAAGTTAAAAGAATAAATTTGAAATGACACACTTATTTATTTTTTTCCCCTTTAAAACTTATGAATTGGGATGAGTCGTGGTAATATTAGTTATTTCCTTATAAGGAAACATACAATATTTTATGACCAAACAAACGGTATTACTGTTGACAGGAATTTATAAAATCTTTCTCTTAAAACAATTTTTCAGGAAAATAGTGGGGTTGGGAAACCTGTTATTGCTCTTTTCGGTATTGATGGGGTAAGAGTCCCTAAGCTTTTGTTTAAAAATGTAGAAAGTCAATATCTTGATTATGTCATTAGTCTCTTTGAGTTATGTTATATTGATTTTAGTTGTTGCTGCTGTTGAAAGTCCTTAGGTGATGGGCTTCTATTATTTGGTATAATTCTTTGAGATTCTGTAGTACCAGTCCATGAGATTCAAAGAGGGATGATCATCTCAAAGACCTACAGGGTTCATTCATTCAAAGCCATTTTTAATTACCAATCTGAGAAAGCATTGTATACAGCTGACAGTTTAGACCTTTGGTACCATTTTTTGGTACTATGTATGATATCATAATTCCAGTCATTTTGGAGTAACTTCATGTGTGTGTGAAAATCAAAATGCATATATATTTATGGATAGGTAGAAATAAATGACCAAGAATCTATGAATAAGGCATCCTGTTTGCATTGCAAGTGGTTAGAGATATTATATGCAAATCTGTTTAAATATTGTAAGAGTTAAGATAGGTACCTCCACGAGATCGCTAAAAAAAGAGCATAACATGATGAAAAAGACGCCAAACTTGACGAAAACAAAATTTTATCGTCTAAATGTTTGTTATTATTAAGAGGAAAGGTCAAAGTATTTTTGGGGTATTTTTTCCATTTTTAATCGTTCCTAGCACGTCCGAAATTTTCGTTAAAAAATCTAGTTTTTTTTTGAGTCAGCAAATTGACCATTTTTTTTCCATTTAAAAAAACTGGAAATCTGACTTTGAAATTTTTTTAAATATCAATTATTTTTTTCAAAACTTATTTTAAGAAAATCAGAAATTATAATGTTTATTTAAAATATTTTGAACCAAACTTAACTTAGCTTTTGTGCCAAAAAACATGTAATTTGAAAATAAAACAAAGCAGGTCAAACTTTCAAGCGTCTCTTGACATGTGATGAATGATATATTTACGAATTCCATGAGGCTAATTTGTTCTACGGAAGGAGAAAAGTGAAATAATTTACATTTACGTGAACAAATTATTTACCCCGTTATTTTTAACGAAAAACTTTCAGCGGTCTAATTTTTTTTTTTTTTTTTTTGTACTTAGCTTTCACCTTTACGTTTATGATGCTTTATGGGAAATATATTGCAAAAGAAATTAAAATAAAACTGTTAAGAGTGACATTAAATTTCATATTTCTTAAGAAAGGTATCTAATTAATTTATAGGTACCTTTCTTATGAAATTTTATCAGAATTGTACATAAAATACTATAATTTTATGTACATTTATTACATTCTACTGTTATTTGTATTTGCATTCATTTTATTATTAATTTTGATATTTCATTTATGGAAAATGTCGAACTGAGATTAATATAAAAATAAGATCATATAAATTTCATAAGATGATACTGATACTTGTAGGTAACCTTCTCAGTTGAAATTGAAAAATCAAATTAACTTCTCCACACGTGTTTCTAAAAGTAAAGGCCTTAACAGCGAGAACAATGCTTAACTCAAATAACGCAACTTAATTATATTCTGGTTGGTCTTCCGTATTTTATAATTACAGCTCGATTATAAGCACAAAATTACATTTCTTAATTACTGGGGATCTTCTGATTAGTCAAAATGATACAATTTACAACGTGCTAAAAAAAGATCTATCTCATAAGGACACTTATGAAAGCCTGTGCGGCTTTTAACTAATTTTATAATATTTTAACAACTTAAATGTAAAATCTATTATAATTAATGAAATAACAAATAATTGTATTAAAAATTTCATTTTTCATCGGAAAAATTTTTTGCTTTCAGAAAATATTGTCCATATTCATAAAAACAACTAAAAGCAAATAAAAGCATTTGAAATTAAATAATATATTTGTTTTATTGAGTTTTGTATGTTACAATTCAGAGCTGATTTTCAGGTACTGGGTTTCCAATTAAAAACAAAAAAAAACATGGTTTGCATTCCTCAAAGCCCTGTGCTTTTAATTATTGTAATCACTAAAACCGATGCGATCGAATTTCTAGCGTTTTCATAAAATTAGTTATGGGGGGTAATAAATATTTTTTAAAAATATTTCTACCATGACTTTCATAAAAAAAAAATATTTATAATAATTTCGATCATCTGTGAATAGTTCCTGAAAGTTTCATTAACATCCGATAATTATTTCTATTTTTGAACGATTTTTCAAATTAATGTGTGTCATACCAAAAAAACGTGCTAAAAATTGTCTATGTTATTTACTAGTTCCGCTGATACAAATAGAAACAAGGTTTTTTAATCAAAATTTAGAATTTTCTAAAAAGAAGGAAAATTTTTTAAAAATAATTAAAAAAACTTTGGTCTTTCCTCTAAATAATAACATAAGCATTTAGACAATAAAATTTTGTTTTCGGCAAGGTTGGCGTCTTTTTCATCAAGCTATGCTCTTTTTTTAGCGATTTCGTGGAGGTACCTAAGTTAAGAGAGAGAATAAAATCTCAAAGAAAAGAGGGAGGGGGTGTCAATTATCTTTTATCCATTACAACAGGACATCACCAATCTTAGAATCACCAGCAATGGTTTCACCCATCTACAATTGGTCCCCACTCAACAAACTCTTTAAATGCAAAAAAAAAAAAAAAAAAAACAAAACAAAAAACTTTGTAGCATATATTTCAAAAGGACTGAAAAGTCAAATACAGTTTTTCAGTGTGTAGGAGAATAAATAATAAATATAATAATATATAATAAACAGCAACTTTATAATAAATTTTGCATTATTAATAATTTGTTTTTTTTAATGTAGGGCTTTTTTCTTGCACACTTTAAAAATAAGGAGTCAATTTCCAGATGATAATTTTTTTTTTTTTCTTTTTTTTTTTACAGCAAAGAACATGGCAATACACAAGATAGTAATCAATGGTATCCTTTCAACAAGAAAGGAAACTTACCTACTTCACAATCAGTGAGATAGCAGCAGCAGTGAGTGAGTGAGTGAGTGAGTGAGTACATACACACACACACTATATATACGGGCACATGGTTGAGTGGTTAGAAGGTTTGCTTTCTGACCATGAAACCAGAGTTTGAATCTCACCATGGTCGATTTGTCAGGAAGGAGACCATCTGATGTTATCGGTCTGGAGGGGACGATCCCAGCGTGCGGCACCTTTGGAAAAGTGCCTGAAAATCATACCATGGGTTGACCCAAGCCTTGTGAGTGAAATTGGATAGACAGAACACTTGGGGGACAGTCGATAGCTGTGCTAGTATGAAGTCACAAGTCATTGTGACTGGGAGTGTGAGTGTGCTGGCCCTGTTCAGATTGTTGATCACACTAGATAACATGCTCTCTCTCTCCAAGAAACTGTAATTAAGGTCTACTCAATATAGTTGGGCTCTGTTGGTGTTGAACAAATGCAAATGTGTCTGAGCGAGTGTCTGAATTAGGGATTGGCTAGTTAGTGCCCTAGTAAACGAGTATCCTCAAATTCGAGTGACCAGCTATTATATATATTAGTAGAAAATATAATGGTCACAAATTTGCACACTACAAATTCACTTTCTGCCCCTGACTTTATATGTGCTTGAAGACAGGAATGCTAATCCATAAGTAGTACATCCAGTGTGTGTGTGTGTGTGTGTGTGTGTCATGCATATATGATCACTTAAGTTAAGCAACATTGAGCCTGGTTAGTATTTAGGTGGGTGACTGCTTGGGAATACCAGGTGCTGTAAGCTTGGATGTGCAGGTGTAATGGATAATGGTTCAGAATTGTTAATCAGAGAGCAGAGTTTTCCAATTCCCATTGGGTTTGTGGTATTCCCTTAATCACAAATATCCTTGGGAAAGGTAGGATAAGATAAAGATTTGTGCAATTTGACCAATACACTGGAACCAACATTTTCTCCTCAAAACATTTGCAATGTTATCCTTCCCAGGGTGGTAGTTTTATCAAAATTGTAGCAAACAAGCCCAATCCATCTCTGAATTTTATCCTTCTTAATATCACTAGTCTGCTTAGAATCAAATATGAATGCCATTGGTTTTTGTACAACCAGGGTAAAGTGGTATCCAATTAAACACTGACTCCACTTGCCTCAAGTATAACACGTTTTCTTTCCTATGTTGCTGAGGATTTTTGTTCACTAACATTTAATGTTCTTGAAAAGGAAACTACTGATCTGACCAGCTCAATTTCAGACAGCAATGATAGTGTCATAAGATGCAAAAGCAACGCTTCTATAGAATGCACTTTTTTTCTTCTTATTAAGAGCAACCACCTCATAATAATTGGCAATCCAAGGGGGAATAGTAGGAGATAATACTTACAGCATAACACTGAAGAGCAAGAGGAAGTTCTTTAAGTGGCTGAAATTTTTCAGAATCAAGTTTAATTTTAGCCACAGAAATAGTGTAAGCCAGAAGGTTCACAAAAGTCAGAGAACAAGCACTTGTAAGAATTATAGGTCACATCAAACTTCTAAGCAGTCTTAGTAAAACTCCTGAGGCTAAATGTAATATTCTTTGTTACTTCTACCACCTCCACACACACACTACTCAGGTAAGCCAATGTGTCAGAAAGAGTTGCTGATGATGAATTCATGTATAATGTGATGAAAACAGGGAATTCCATTGGTTACTTCAAATGGAATACAGTCTGGAATTAGTATGACTGACCACAGGCATCAAAATCAACATAAGGATTCGACAAGTATCAAGACATGTTTGCAATCAGATTTTAAGTCAGTTGTATTAAATAAATAAATAAATAAAATAAAAATAAATAAGATATTTTGACAGTGTTTGCTAGTTCCTCAGGGTGTTATGGGAAGTAAGCATATAACATTGTTGTAGTGGAAGAAGAAAGCAGTGATATATATTGCTGAAAAAAAAAAAAAAAAAAAAAACAACACCCTTACATATCACATTTAGTATTTGACAAACTAAACAAGTAACCCAGACTAGTTCTTTACAGGGAGCTCAGAAAATCATGCAAATTTTGCTTGAGCAATAATGGCTATCACAAGCATATAAAAGTTCTAATTTTTCCAGATGTGCATATTTTTTTTTTTTTTTGCTAACAACCCAGTAGCAGAATTTAAGGATAATTTCATACATATGGATTTGGGGCTATCATTCCGCTGCAACTTTGCAACATGTTCAGTCCAAAACCGACTACCATTCTTGTGTTTCTCATGAGTGGTCACTATACCTCGAGCTTGCTTGTTTGGCGTATCACTTTGCAAGTATCTTCTTCATTTCAGTTTCAATAAAATATTTTTCTGGATAAATATATTTCCTTGACTGGGCAACAGTCATTGGCAAGATTAGCAAAACATCAGAGGAGAAACAGCGAATGGAGATTCCTCTCCATTGAAATTCATACAGGTGTCCTGATGTTACTTTCTAAAGTTCTGTCCAAGAATGACATTAGAACAGAAATCAAACAGCATAAAGATCCTGTTACTTTATTGAGAACAAAAAATACCCCTTTCTATCTTTGTGTATTTACTGAATTCATTTTCTATTTGCACACAGATATAAGTTCTGGATTATTCTAATATTCTTCCAAAATAAATCAAGCTTACCTAGCAGTTTAAGCAGTTCTTTGTGACATACTTTATCAAATGCTTTTGCATAATTGATAAAACAGATAACCATCCTTTTTACAGTGCTCTTTCTGATATCATTCTGAGCATAAATATTACATTCCTTGTTCCAGTGATAGTAGAATCGACATGACTATCTGTTCAACAGCTTTATTATTTGCTTAACTAAAGTTTCTATGTAACAGGATAAAATATTTTCTTCCTAGATATTTAAGTTTTTGTACTTGTTTAATTTTGGTAGTCCAATTTGTAATTCACATGTTAGGCTGTTTCTTTTGCTGACGACCATACATTATGTTGTCTTACCGTTGATCCTTTGTTCTCCCTATTCTTTACTACATTTTTTAAGAGTTCTTGTAGTTTCCTTTCTCTGTCTGTAATCAACACTTGTCTAATGTTAAGATTGTGACCAGCAATAATGACTCAAGGTAGGACTTTTAGTTCACTTAGAATTGTTTCACTGTAATATTTGAATAAGTCTGGTGAGAAGACATTTTTATCTTACGCTCATTTCTATTTTTTTGTCTATTTATTGAATTCATTTTTTATTCACAAGCAGGCAGTTTGCTCTCAGTACACGTTCTGTATTATTCTAATATACTTCCCAAATAAATTAAGCTTACCTAGCAGTTCTTTGTGATGTAACTTGTCAAGCACCTTTGCATAATCTTTAAAAAGCATAGGTATACCACCGCTTTGAATTTCTAGTGACTAAAAATATTCAATAAAACAGAAGAGTTGTAGGAATCTAATGGTGATTACAAAGGTGTTTGGAGTGATCACTAGCAATGGTTATGTCTCCATTCATCTTCCCATAGGGCCTCAGACTCAACACAGAGGCCAACATCAAGTGACTTGAAGAGGTAATGCTGGCTTGAGTCAAGATGGTGGCTGCAGGAAGACCCTATGTCTGGCAAAAAGAACTCTGCACCATGCCACACACAGGAAAACCCAGTCATGGCTGTCAGACAATTTCTGCAACCATATCCCCTCCTTACATCTGGCCATCTAATTCCCCAGACTGTAAACCTTTTGATTATTATGTGTGGGGCGCAGTTGAGCGAGGGACCAACAAAAGATGAACTGAAGGAAAGGATTATGGCAATATTCAACTTAAACAAGAAAACCATCCTGAAGAGTTGCAGAGGAGATTCCGAGGTCATTTGGAGGACATGGCTCAAGTCAATGGTGATTTTATTGAAGAAATTTAATCTTTAGTATTTTAAGATATGTTTGTGTAATTTTGGTAAATATATCTGTTAAAATGAGATGTCAGTGTTGTTATGACAATTTATCCACCAAACCCTGTAATTGGAGACTGAAGCATAAAAAAATGATTCCTGGCCTTGTTGAATGACATAACTTTACAAAATGTCCTTGCCACATGTTATATCATGGACTTGATTTTTACAAAAAAGATACCTATTTCCAGGGAAGAAACACTGCAGCAGATGTTTGGCCACTTTTAGATGATCTCTCACTACTCATACATGTGTTTGTGCATCATAAATGGAAGAATCTGCTGTTGCATTAAAAGTTGACCATAATAAAAAGTTATGAACTTGAACTATTTGAGGCCTGTTCTTGAATGATCAAAAAGAGTTTCAAGATAATGTTTTCTTCTGAAGCAGCCTCACGATATTAGCTATTATATATAGACACTTATCGATGTGAAAGCTCTGAAATTAGTTTTTACTCAGATGTAAATATTCAATTAATAAATCTTTTGGCTGATGCCAACAGTATCTAATAAAGGTCTTGCACACACCTCGTTTTAGGGTCCACATACAAGTTCTACAAACTACATAGCACAGGCTAAGTTTAACAGTCAAAAACATACACAAAAAAAAGGAACGTACTTAATGAATACATTCAGTTTATCTGGAGAGTGTTAAAAAGGAAATTGTTGAATGAAATAAACCAATGATTTTGTTCCTTAAAAGCAGAATGGAAATTAGATTTGGTTTCAAAACTCTCAGGTTGCAGCAACTTTCATGGTCCAGTTGTTTGTAGTCAGACTAGGTTTCTTTGAATAAATTGTAATAGAAATTCAATTTATTTCTTGGGTTTTATCCAAGCAAAAACAAACAAAAAACACTGTTAAACATGTGACAGCAATCAATATAGCCTCTATGTAAGAAATAAAAATCTTGACTTTATATGAGAAAGCAACACAGAGAGTGAGAGTATGTGTAAGAGTACAAATTCTAGTTGAATTTGTTATATTTACTTATGTGCTAATATCCTTGGGAAAGGTATGAATTCATTGCTTCTCCCAACCCCACAAAAACTATAGATAAATGACAGGACCCATTAAGGCCTATAGCATTAGGTGGCAACCAGTCTGCAAGATAACTGAATCCAAAACTTAAGGAGGCTCATTTGGAGACTGTGCAGTACACTATGTGCACCAGTTCTGTAGAAAAGTGTGGACGGTTCTGTAAACGCCTTCACCACACAAATTAAATTATATGCACAGGTAGTTTGGTTGTTCAGTTCTAAAGACTGAGCTATTGTACCCTCATATGTCTAAAACAACACAAGAATCACACACACACACACACACACACACACATATATATATATATATATATATATGTGTGTGTGTGTGTTACACATAACTACAGTAGAGTCATTGGTGGTGCCTGCTGAATTTTAAATATGCCCACTGTGTGAGTAAATATATATCTTTTGGGATTTCATCATCCACAGGTTAGGGAACAACACCTATTGTAGTGAACAAAGTTTTATCGTACATGATTAGAAATTATAGGGAGAGAAGATAAATCTTACCATTAATCAGAATCCAAACTTTTCACCTTCTGGAAATCCTATCAGTATAGTAAATTTGTATTTACTTTCACTAATTCCTATTCCTGCTGAGAGAGTTTTATTTTCAAGAGTAAGATTAATTACAATAACACCTCAGCCATTTTGAGAGCTTGACTATTACTTTGCATTATACAGAGCCATCAAGAGAAAGCAAAAGGCAATAAAAGTAGTGATTGTTGATTCCACTTTTACTGGTGAAGGACTGCAAAATAATTTCCCCTGCCCTTTTATAGGCAGACACACACAAATGCATGCTTGGATTTTTTTCTAGTCAATAAAATAGACCAGTTCTTG